TTAGTCAGTTCAACTTCAGTTATAGGTGCAAATTCGGGTTGGCTATGTTCAATTACTTTCGGTTAAAACCCGGTTAAAGAAATTTTTTCACTGAAACCGACAGACATGATCATTGCACACTAATCAAAGTTCTCTTGGGAAGAATTTAAATCCTACTGCAACCTTAGACACGGCCCGCAGAAGATAGTTATATGAGTGAAAGAAAACAACTTAAAAATTGGTAGTAAAAATCAAGAATTAAATCTCATTTCCTACGTATAAGAGTTAAGTGGAAGTAAACATACGCTGAAGACCCAAGAATAGTTGATTAGTCATCCTGGCTTGAAGTGGGTTTAAAAGATCCTCCTCATGGAGTTTCGCTATTGTTTGTATAAGGTTACCATACATGTAATCCAAGCAGGGGATGAAGGAAAAATGAGAGGATGATTAGGAACACCAAAATACACAAAGGATTAGTAATGGAGATTACATAAGTTTTTAATTTAAAAGAACGTTAATTAGGGCTGTTAAGTTAGTAGAAACAATGAGGCAATACTCCCCATTAATGATTCATATCGTCAAGTATACCCGTTCCAAATTTCATTCTAATCAAATAATCTGCAGGTACTAATGTATCTCGTGATAATAAAAATGTTGTTATACACATAAACAAATTAAGAGAACTGGTTAGATTGAAACAAGAAGGGATGGTTGCTGAGTACCACTAGTGCTTTCGAGGAACTTTCTGTGTGTGCAATTAGCCCTCACCTCTGAGCAAGAAACTAAGATCTTTATCAGCAATCTCCAAGAATATATATCACTATTGAAGTCGACCTATAACAACCATGCGGCATCACTACTGCCATGAGTTTGGCAAGGGTTTATAAGAGGAGGGACGAGCAAAGGAAACCAGAGAATAGTAGCAACCAACGAGCATCCAACCTGCCACAAGCAATCAAGAAATGGAGCAGGAAGGAAATGGAAGACGAGAAAGAATGGCATCTGTTTCAAAAGTAACGAACCATTTGCACCAAGGGATGTGCAAAAAATTGTTTTGGTTGGACTAGAGAATGATGAGGCAAGAGATAATGAGGAAGCACGGGATGAGAAAACATTCCACTTTGGAGCTTCTGAACAAGCTTCAATTCAAAGAAAGGGAGAAATGTTTTAATACAAAAAAAAGCAGGGTGTCAGACCCATGGAAACAGCAAACAGAATGAGTTTGAGTCATAGTTGGTAGCAAGTTGGTTTCTTTGTTTTATTCTTAATCAAAGAAGTACAAGTACCCATATCCAATTTTTGGAGTCTCACTGCCAAGTCCTCAAATCTTTAACTATGAAAACTGCCAAGCCAAACACTTGTATTCAACCCCTGTACCCGAGTCCAACAACATAGATGATTTGGCAGTCACATATTATCCACACAAACCACGCACAGGCAGAAACTCGCATAAATAAAACAAGCTAGATTCATTACCTTGATGTTATAATCATCTCTCTCTGTAATTTGCTGCAAGAGCTGTTGGTTTTGTGTCTGCATGTCATCATATGACTGTCCAATTGTCTGGAGGAAAAAAACATATCGATGATGTTCCACAAGAGTCTTCTACAAAAACAAAGTATTGCATTGGCTAACAAGAACTAACCTCTATTTCAGATAAGTAGGTCTCATTT